TGAGCAGGGCCAGGCAAGATGACAAATATTCTCCTTCTGTCTGAGAACTAAAGGGACCACATTAAGGTAGTGGGGATGGGGATTCACTTTCAGGGTGATGTATTTACCAGTGGCAACCCAAAGAATGCCAGTAGAAGTGAGCTGGGACAGGCAGTGGGGACTGTGGTCAGCCAGAATATCCCACTGTCATATTTATCCTTCATCTCAGCCCAATATCCCAGGGCTTCCCGAAAACAACTGTTTGTCTTTGCTGTAAATGTTCCGTGGTTCTTTCTCAAGATGATCTTACATGCAGTGGCTGACAGGCACAGAGACTACAGGATCCTGGTTTTCAGTTCCATTGCTGGTTTTTTTGTCTCACTGTCCACCTGTGCCAGGGATTTTCTGTGCCTCAGTGTTTCTGCCTGTGTGCTGGAGACACCAGTTTCCTGACAATTCCATTTTCTGCCTTTTCTGAAGTCGCCTTATATTTTGAAGTAAAGGATGATGGAATATGAATAGCTGCTGTTACTAAGGGAGCCCAGAACATCCATGGGTGTAGCCGGAGGGGGATGCTGTTCCTGTCAGCGATCAACCAGAGTTCCCTCTCACATTCCCTCGCAGATCTACGAGTACAGGAAAACCAACCACGAATTTCCGAGCCGCTTCAGTGGTCGGATCCAGTGGAACGGGAGCAAAGACATGCAGGACGTGTCCATCACCGTGGTGAACGTGACCCTGAACGACTCCGGCATCTACACCTGTAACATCACCCGCGAGTTCGAGTTCGAGATCCACCGGCCCCTCTTCACCAGCTCCCGGCTGATCCACCTCACCGTGGTGGAGGAGGGTAGGAGGGGCTGGCAGGGGAGTGTGTTGTGCTGCCACTGGGCTGGGGGTGTTGCCCTCCAGGGATGGGGTTTGGCACGGCACGGCAGGAGAGGGTGGTGATCGTGCCTGCCCTTGCCAAGCAGCGCGCAGGGTTCAGCAGGACGGACCTGCCCGCTCTTTGCTGGCTGTGGGGGAGCCACAATCAGCCTGGCAGGCCGGGGCACAGCTGGGCACAGCTGGGTGGGCGGGAGCAGAGGTTCCCAGCTCCTCCTGTGGCGGCTCTGGGATGCTACAGCACCGCCCTCCCCAGGCAGCCGCAGCGTCTCCTCGCAGCCGCCCCCTCCCTGCTGGATCCACTCATTCTCCATTTTGATATCCCTCTCTTGCTTCCACCCTTCTTCCCTCTCTAGTGCTCCTCTGTTCCTCTTGGGTTTGCTTGGTTTAACCTAGAAAACAGTGGGAATTCTGCTCTTCTTTCAGGGAGGGGAGGGAGCTTTTAGCCCTCCTTCTTTTCTGGCTGTGGGTTCCCCTCCCTCTTCCCCACAAACATCTCCGTGTTTGGATCCCAAGTAGCACCAGCGAGTAGGACACAGGGGAGGAAACAGAGCGTGAGGATGAGACAGGCCAAGGGTGAGCAATCCGTGTGGATGTGGAGGTGGCACAGAACGTGAGGAACACGCCAGGCTGTGCCTGTCTGATCCCACTGGAGACACCTGGGGGGATTGCTGCTGCTGGCAGCCTCTCCTGGTCCCTCTCTTATACCCCCTCACAGCGTAGGGGCACCTGGATATCTCTAGCAAGGTGGGTTAGGAGGGGTGACACGAGGGTGGGAAGTGTCCTTGGAGCTGCTGTGCTTCCACGATCAGAGATTGTTTCATTCCCTTCACAGCTGGAGAAGACTTCACCTCTGTCATCTCAGAAATCATGATGTATATTCTGCTGGTCTTCCTCACCCTGTGGCTGCTGATAGAAATGGTCTACTGCTACAGGAAAGTCTCCAAGGCAGAGGAGGCTGCCCAGGAAAACGCGTAAGTGTGGAATCTCTGGAGATCCCACTTGTTTTGCCAGGGTTCTTCAGGTGTCCCAGGCCAGACCAGACTGCAGGAAAACTGAGCCTTGCTGTTGCATGGTTTAGTTGGTGTCCAAAATCCTCGGAATGTTTAGGAGTACCAAGAGACACTTCCACAGTGCAGGTGGGGAGTGCAGTGGACTGCATGGAGATGCTCTCCTGGAGGAGCTGGCTTCATACTGGCCCATTCCCATCTTTCTCCACACTTGGCATGGGTAAGGGTGCTCTTTGTACATGATAGGGAGGCTGTATGTGTGGGATTTTCCAGCAGGAAAGACTCTGTGTTAGCTCCTGACTATGCCAAGGGGAGTTCCCTGCCACGAGCATCTTCCACAGGTGACGTTTGTCACCTCAGAGATACCTCCAGGTGAATGGGCCCAAACTACCCACTGTAGCACTCGAGGTCATGCTTTCCTCCTTCCCTTCCAACTACAGGACAGACTATCTTGCGATTCCATCAGAAAACAAGGAAAACTGTGCTGTGCCTGTGGAGGAATAGCAGGAGAGGAGACAGCAGAATGAACGGCACCAAGGTAGGGGACGGGGAAACTCCGTCACTGCTTGTGTGTGTGTCCACCTTGCAGCCTCCCTGCAGTGAGTTGGGTGGTGTAAGGGCTGGAGAGAAGGTGGATGGGAGACTCCTGGAGCGTGGCTGTGCTGCTCCTCTGGACCTTGGAAACAACACAGGTGTCTTTAGGCGGTGGGTGCAGTCACACTGCTTTAAACCCCAAACCAGCACACACAGTGTAGGATGGAATTACACCTCCCTTGCCCATTCCCGAGGTCCAAGAGGGCTTCTCTCCCTTGCAGGGGCTCTGAAGACAGAAGGACCACGACGTGCCAGCCAGGTTTGAGGGGAGCTCTGCGCCGCCGGGAGGAAACGCGGGGAAGTGTAAATTCTCTTCCGTTTGCCTTGGACTCTGTACAGCCTTGACTCTTTGGTCTCATGACTCCATCCTGAGCTGCCAGCCCATTGCTAAAGGACTCTTCTGTTGAAGCATGCTGAGCAAAAGGCACAGGGGTGTGGGCAGCACGGCTCCTTCCCGAGTTTCAGTTCCATCATCACCTCAATGGCTTTGTAAATGTTACGTGTCATTCCTTAGCTGCTGCCACCACCACCCTTTATTTGCTGAATATGCCAGTTCTCCATTGCAGAGGTAAAGGGTATGGATGTCGTGTCACTCTGACCTGCAGGACTGGGGATGAGGGCATTTTAGGGTGATGTTCCACCACGTATTGCAGACTCAGCAGTCTTACTGGTGTTAAAACAGGAAGAATTCAATTAATTAGTTGCTTGGTAAATCGATCTGGACTTTGAGCTGCCCATGCACAGGCAGAGTAGGGTGGGACTGTAATGCACTAAAACAGTTAAAAATATATAGTGGGAAGGATGGGCCCCTGGGCCTGGAATTGAGAACAGATCCTGAAATATTCCTGCTTTGGGAGGCAGGGTGATGTAAGAATGAGAATCCCCTGTGTCCCCCCTTTCATTTAGCAAGTGTCAGTATTCTCAGCTCCTTCCATCTGCCTTGCACAGCAGGTTTTACTCCTGGAGTGCACAGACACACAGTGGTAGGAGTAACCTGTGGAGCCACGTCCTGCAACAGCAACCAGGCAAGTAGGACAAGGTATGGGATCCACCTCCTTCTGGGAAACCCAGGGAAGGAAGGCAGCCTCATGCAAGAGAAATAACCAGGAGGCAAAGCCCTCACAGGAGGAGGACAGCACCTTATAAAATGGTTGTAAATTTTAAACTAACAGTTCTCTCACGCTACAGCACAGCACCATCTAGAGGGACAGACAGAAAACACCCGTTTTTCCCAGTTAGTCCTAATTCTTTCTTTCGTGGTAATTACTCATTGGTTTGAATTGTCAGCATTCATCCTAAATGACGCCCTGCTGCCCAGGGATCTCGCTGTAAAGTCCATCTTTCCTATGCAAACTTACCTTTTCAGAGGGTTAAGCAGAGTAAAATTCGTTTTCTGGCCTCCCATGTAGATCAGCTGAGCTCAGCAACTGGGACTGGAAGGGGTGAAAAAGGTAGGAACGCTGGCCAGGGTGGAACTGTACCTTAAAGTGGGAGAGGTTTGGTTTTGTCCTATGGCAGATGTTGTTACATCCCTACTGCAATGGAGCCTGTACTGCTTGCTAGAGTTGACAAATTTTGCTACACTGATGCTTCCAAGTAGTTCCAAAGTGCTTGTGACTCCAGGCATGCTTCCCACCTATGGAATTCCCTCTGCTTTGTTCTGCTGCTTTTTATGTGTTTGCTAAAAATCACGGAAATTACTCCATTTGTAAGTCAGGCCCAGGCCAGATTTCTAACTGGCAGTTGTTCAAAAATCCTTCTTTTTTTTTAGAGTGGGTGTCTAGTAAAATACTACAGTGCAGTAGGATTGCTCCCAAATCCAGAGCCAAGTCTGGCAACTGGAGTACACTTTCCACTTGTAGTCTGGGCACCAGTTCCCTAAAACCTCATATCCAAAAGGTGGGGGGAAAGCAGCCCCTCTTTGAGTTCAGCTGGATGTTATCATTTTCCCTACAATGATTTGCCTGGCATAATCCCAACTCCAAACCCACAGCAACAGAGGAGGGAGTAGATTGCAACTCCAGAGTTTCCAGCACTGACCACGGCACTGAGCCCACGGTTATATTTTTTTTTTTTAGGTAAGGTCACAAAAGTTCTCTCCCACTTCAGCTCTGCTCCTCAGCCCCTGTGAAGCACTGAAAGCCCTCTGGTTGAGTCAAAAAAAAAAAAAAAAAGGAGTAAACTAAGAACTTCTTGAGAGCTACCTCAGGTGGTAAAGAAGGGCCATCCCCTCGTCCTGCACCTCCCTGTATATCCCACACGCATCTCCCGGAGATGCCTTTTTTTTGGGGAAAATATCTTTCACTTTTCCAGCTCCTGCAGACAGATGTGGTGTTGCAGGCAGGAGAAAACGGTGTGCAAAGTTTTGCTGGAGAATCTCACGGGGGAAAACAAGAGTTAACAACTGAAAAATCAGGGGGGTTTTCAAGGCTGGTGGTACAGGTTGGTCGCTGCAAAGACTCTCTGTATTCGGACACGACAGGAGAGACTCCAGAACAGGCAGGATAATAAAGAGAACAAAGACTCACACTGTCTGGTTGATAGAGTTTTTAATTGATACCGTACTTCCATGTACTAGCTACTTACACCAGGTTTGGCTGCAGAGCCTTTTACAGTTCCTAGAGGTTCTAGCAGGTCATTTCAGTAGCGTTTCACCGCGGTTTGCGCACAGCGCAAAGGTCCTCACAGTCACACGACTCCTAAAACCAACCCACCGGGGGCCTTCCCCCACCCCACAGTGAAAATTCACATCCCCCCCTCCCCCTGATCCCGGGCTCTGGTGGTGAATTCCAGGAGGGAAGCGAGTGTAGGACCCACTCCCTCGTTAGTTTTGCAGTTAACAGCGATTCAGGGGCGCAGGGTCCGGCTGGGGAGGACACGCTCCAGGTTTTTTAGCAGCTTTATCCAGGCCTGGAGAGTGCGCTGGGAGATGAACTGCCACGGGAATGGTGACGTCCCGGAGGTGCCACAGCCGTGGTTGTGCTGCAACAGTTCTGCTGCTCCTCCCTCCCTCCGTGTCCAGAGCCAGGCCAGGCGCTTCCATCTCTGCTCTGCCGTAAGTGCTGCGTCCACGGGAGGTGGGTGGGCTTGTGGAGATGGGAATGACGCCCGTGGCGCAGGCTCCACCCCTCCCTGCTGGATAGAGCTGCTGTTTTGTAACAGCCGCCCTCCCAAAATCCCGCTTCCCACACGGAGACACGACCACACGGCTCTAAGAACCTGAGCTGCACGTTGGTTTTATTCCCTAACTATTCCGGGAGTCTGGGATGGGGAAGGTGGCCTTTAAACGTTAGCAATGGAATTGGCCTAAATGAGTGAGGTAACAGAAACGGCCAGAGGAGGAACCTCCCTGAGCCATGTGCAAATATAATTCCTTCAGCAGAAGGAAGTCCTTTTCCCTACTGAACAAAAATAAAAATTAAAACACATTCACTTTAAAAAGAGCATACAGACTGCAGGAGGGAAAGGCAGGCAGGGACAGCACCAGGTCAGTCCATCTATGACACGGGGAATGATTGTCCAGCAGCAGAGGTTCGAGGGGAGAGGGGGAAAGCCATAGCAAGCACTGCAAAACGTGTGGGAGAGGAGGGCATGGCACACCACGTACCCATGCTAAGGGATAAGCCCATGCTGTCTGCCTAGATCAGGGAATGGCCTCAACCAGCAGTCCATCAAGACACGAGGAGATTATTTGGCCAGTGTGCACGTCTAGGAAAGGGAAGGCATTTATGGCACAGAGAGACTCGTGCTGTGGGGACTGCGAAGCACGGAGGGCAGAGCGGGCCCGGGGGGGGACACGGGCTGAGACATCAGCACAGCAACTACACTGAGACAGCTGCTCTGGGAGCCACTCACCTCGGGGGCTTTGGTTTGAGAGCCTCTGCTTCCAGTTTTGTGTTGAGCAAGCCCCTGCCAGGTGTTTTAACTAGTGCTGAGACTGGCTGAAAAGACTTAAGTCAGAGTCCACGCTGAAACGCGTCAGTGGCGGCAACCCTGGCAGAGATCCCACCGGGAGATCTCCTGGGGTTGAACAAGGATCTGTCAAGAACTGTGGGATGACAGCAGCCGGCTGGGAAAACAGGACAGAATTGCCTCCCCTGAGCCAGGCGCTGTTCCTTCAAGCAGCAATTTTCAGACTGATTTTCCGCACACTGTGGAAGCAGAAGGTGCCACCTCTGAATTAGGAAGTGGTTTTGTTTCTGTCCTCACTGGGAAAAGCAGACACTGAACTGACAAGAGTGCTCCTGGTTAGAACAGTTAGTGCAGCAAATCCAAAGGTCTTGATCAAGTACCCAGACCAAAAGTGTCTCCAGTCACTACCTGGAAAAGAAATTTCTACCTTCCTGTACAAAGGTAAGAGTAAGTTTCTATTCAGGATATGTGGACAGTGCTGAGGAGTCAAGGAGGCTGAAAAGTCTATCCCCATCTACACCCAGACAAGCTGCTGAACGGGGTCTGCCTGACAAGAACACAGAGCAGCATTCCAAAATTAGCATTCCAGGCTTTCCTTGAGAGGATATGCCAAATGCAAGGCATCACTATTTCAGAGCCAGTTTTGTGCCAGGGCTTCAAATCCAGCAAAGCTTTGTGCTTTGAAACCTTTCCCCCTTTAATACAGGCTCCTATTACACTGAAGGCATGTTGCATATCTCTAAGGTTTGCCTTTATTGGATCTAAAGTAGACAAGAGGGCTCAGGTGTCACCCAGCAGACAGGCATAGCCTGAGCTGTGTGTAAATGCAGACCCTGTCAGCAGCAGTTCAGGTGTGTTAGGGGAGATCAAAGCCCTGTGACTTTTTTTTTTTTCTCTTCTCCCAAAGGACTTAAGGGAGCCAGAAAGGATTTTTGCAGATGTTAGTATCAGTTACTATGAATTAATATCAAAGTTTTGTGACTGAAGCGTGCCTGGGGTTAATTGCAGAGCACCCAAAAACATGGTTATCCTGTTAATCCACAGCTCACTCCTGTCCTTACCACTGCAGGTACCTTTTTCTCTCCCAAGTGGAATGTGCAGCCCCAGCAATGCCCCTGTCTTGCGCATCTTACACCTGACATAACCTGTCTTTTGGTCCTCCCCGGACACAGGTGCTGCACTAGATGCATTTGGTATCCACTTCAGGAATGCCTGATGGCACAGCAGTTATCCAGGCCTCAAACCCACCCTGAGCTCAGCCCAGATGCCATAACCCCAGCAGCTCCTTCAAAGGTAAGCACTAGGTGTGTGTTTATCAGAGGTGAGGTTGTATCAAGCCAGGATCAGTGATCTGTGTCCCTTCTCCCATAAAAACTGGCAGATTGAAGCCTCCTGCTCCCCCTTCTCCCTCCTCCCACCCAGGGAGCATCTCACTTGGCAGGAATTAGGCTCCCAGCTGCTGGCATTGCTTTGCATGCCTGGCTGGAGAAATGCCTGCTTCAAAAACCCCTGGTTTTTTTTTTTATATTGTTCACATCCTGCAAATCGAACCCCAGCTGTGCTCACCTGGCAGATGTGCAGGGTGGGAAGGTCAGAGGGAGGGCTGGGCAGGGAAATGTGTCTGCTGTGGAAATAATGTGGGATTTCTGGCACAGGGAAGCAAAACCCTGACAGGGGGAAGCCAAGCTATGACTTGGCTAGGATGCTGAGGGAAGTACCACCCCCTGGAACGTTATTCAGGTTGCTCAACCTCACTCCTAAAAAGCATTACTGATTTCTCCAGGAAATACAATCGTGGTCCCAAACTGCCAATGGCTCCAGAAGGAATTAACCTGTCAACTGGGAGCAGATGATTCCTATCACAGCTTTCTACACAAAGGCATCTAAGTGAAAATACCCCCAGGTTTTGTTTAAGCCCTCACCTTTAATCTGAGTTTTGTTTGAGCCCTCACCTTTAGTGCCATTGTGGGTTTTGCCTTAAGAAAAAGACCTTGCTTTTCCCCTTTTTTATTATTACTGTGATAAATTAAGAGGCAACAAAAGGTCAGGAATCCTATCCCACTCCAAGCCAAGTGGGAAAAAAAAAGTAAATAACTAGAAATCTGAGAAAGAGAACCCTAAAGCCTCCAAGATAAACCTCCCTCAGCCTGAAGGATGCTGCACGTACAAGGTTCTAGTTGGTGCCCAGAACAAAGGACTGAACGTTGCTGTGTGTCAGGAGAGATGTCAGATGTTAAAAACCCAGTCTGATGTGCAGGTAGAATAAATATTAGTGCTTGAGATTGTTACAGCTGCCAGTGCAGCCTCAGGTTAATTTAACAGAGCTTGTGCAAGGCTGTCCCTGGGGCCCAGCCTGAGGGAGGGAGGGGAGGAGGGAGTCAGAGGGAACATCCCAAGCCTAAAGCTGTGGCCAAAGCTGGAAGGATGCTGCAGAGAAAGGATGTACTGATGAGGGAATGGATTTCTTGCCTCCCTAACTCTAAAGAGAATGTGAAATCGGTGAGAAACCAGCCCTGATCAGCAGCATTTGCTTGTGACCCTCTGGGACAGGTGGGTTTCTCTGCCTCCTGACTGATCAGATCCAGCCAAGCACAAAACCCTCCCAGCCAGCTGGAAGAGACCTCAACATCCCAGATTTCTTTCATTATGATGTGTCCTCTTTCATTTTCTGGCATGGGCAAGGTGAACCACAGGGCCTCCCTCTCTGTTGTCTTGCTCGGTGCTTGAAATGAAAGTCTAGAGAAGGGGAAGATGGGCAGCAGGGGAATTTTCTGTGCTTAGCAATTGTGGGAGGGAGTAACGGGGGAAACAGGACTCTGGGACAGTCTGGCAAGTCACAGTCAGGGCCCTCCTGTCCCAAGATGAGCCACAGAATGCCCTTCCCAGGCTCTAGCACCTCAGTGTCATTGTACAGCAGCCATTTCAGCAGCCTCCCTGGCAGAGAAGTCAGGGAGCAGTACAGTAGTCAGCAGCATTAAATTAAATAAATAGTCATAAATACACGTTAACTCTCTAGTTTTTCCCCAATTGTACCCTTGCTTTCACAGTCTTAAATGTCTTTTTGACAACCTGTCTTCATCCACACTCCTTCCAGTGTGAGTCTTCTGTGGGACATGTTGTGTTTAGCACTTGGCCATGGAAATGGGAGGCATTTGGGAGAAAGCAGCAGGTTGGTTACTCCTACGTATATTAGCCTTCCCTAATTGGACACTGGGACTTTCAGAGGGTTTTAGAAGCCACTTTTTGTCACCCAGTTGTGAGGATGAGACCAATTGCTCATCCTTGTGTTCCCTGCCCTTTCAGTGCCCACTGAGAGACAACAGAGGAGCTACAGCTGCACCATTTCCATACTGGGAACTTGCAGCTGCCTCCCTCCTGCCACTCAGAAGGTGGGAAGATCCTGCTGTTGGATAAGGTGGAGAGGGAGGGCCTCACATGTCACCTAATCTGCCTGGCTGGGCAGGATGAAAAAGCATTTATTAAACATTCACACAAACAGCCTGAAGCCCAGCCAGCCTCTGTGGGGCTTTGGGACTCTGCACAGTGCAGCCCCACTGCCCCTCTTCCTCATGGGAGTCTGGAATTAACCCCCAGAACAGCTACAAATGCAGTTTGGCTTTTTAGTGCAGCTCTACCCTCTGACTGACTCACAGAGCAAATGCTTATGAGAGAAACCTTCAGATGCCTCACAGCCATGGACACCCCCCAGCTCTGTCCTGCCACCCACTGATGGTCCCTTTTCTCTTTATTTGGTCCCTGTTGACCCTTCCTGAACCTCTCCTGGGTTTTTGGAAGCCTTGGTGCACACAGATGCAGTCACAGATATCCACAGTGATGGCTGTTGCTGCAGAGCTACAAACATGTAAATTTATCCCAGGGAAGGGAATTTATAAGACAAGATATGAACACAATGGTCTTGTAGACCCAGGGGCAGGAGAGAGATTTGCTGAGCTGGGTCGTGGCTGCACATAAATCCTAATTTGGGGGTTTGTTTTTAAGTTGGGGGTAACTCCCACCCTCGTGGGGAGTCGCCTGTTCAGCACAGATGCAGATCTGAATTCAGCACAGGGATGGCTTAATGGCAGGGGCCCAAGCACATGGAAAGCAGAGGAACTACAGCCAAGGCAAAGGGGACACTGTCACAGGTGTGGCTCTGCTCCACCCACACACCTTGCAGGCAGGTACCCCCCTCCCCACCCTCTCCTCGCCTCTTCCTGCTGCACCAGCAGCGTGGAAAGGAGCTGAAATCCTGCCCTCCTGCTGCACCAGCAGCAGGAGGGCAGGATTTCAGCTCCTTTCCACGCTGTGCCTTGCTCTCTGACCCAGGCTGTGACAGCCAGTTGTGTTTCTGCACCCTGATGGGCCAGGGAGATCCGATCCCCGCAGACCCACAGCAACCTCTCCCCGAGGCCTCCTCTCCAAACGTGGAACAGTTTTGCCAGGGATTGAGTGCCGTGGCCAAGCCCTCTCTGCCCTGAAGCCAGCAAGGTAAGGGAGTTGACAGTGTCCCCTTTTATGCAGAGATAAATACAGTCAACCAGGGACCCTCATGCGCGGGGAGGGGGCTGGGGAGGAGGGGAGGGGGCACTCACGCTGATGCTTCCCTTTGGAACGACAGAAACCAAACAGACAGACAGACAAACAGCCAGGAATATTACAGAGGAGCAGTGCAGGGCCCAGGGAGCACCCCTGGGCTCGGCCCTAAGCACAGCTCAGTGCTGGGAGAGCACAGCCCTCCCACACACACACACACACACACACTCCCCCCACACTACCAGAGACACTCCAGTTCAGCCAGTGTTGGAGGTCACAACCCTTCCCCTCGATACGTAGGCTTGGTTTTGTTTTGTTTTGTTTTTTCTCTTAAAATCTGTATATAATATATATATTTATATTCTGTATATATATATATATATTTATATATATATATTTATATATCCTATTTACACATATTGCACACCGTCCTCTGGCCTCCTGCATTCCTGCCTGTCAGTGGAAACGTTTCCGTTTCTCCTCTGGATCTGACCCGAAGTCCCGGGACCCGATGCCATTCTGAAGGTTTATTAGGGAATCCTTCATCTGCAAGACAAGAGATTTCCCCACTGTGATGGATGTGCAAACCCTGGTGGTGAGAGCTCTGGGATTTCCTTCTTTTCCCTGCAGAGTGTCCACACCAGCTTCAGTTTTGGGAGCAGGGCTGGGATGTACAAATGGGGACTGGAGAAGGTGGGAGACTGTGAGGCAACTTTCCCCAAGAGAAGGGGTGAGAGAATGAGGATCAGGAGGAGCAGCTCTGATTTATGGACCATTTTCTCAGCAGCCTGCTGTACAAAAGGCTTTTTAAGCAGTGGATGCTGCAGCTTTGTGCTGTGAAGGGCCCACGCAGAGTGTGTTCCCTTCATCCACGAAATCTGCGTGTGAGTCCAGAGCTGAGGTAAAAAACTGTCTTTCTTCCAAACTGGGATGCCACAGACTAAGTTCAAAACGTGCCAGTGGGAGATTTTTGGCAGAATTCTCCCCTTGGTGTGCACGGACCCCTCAGATGTGACAGAGAGGCCGTGGCACCCTGTGACCGCCCTTGGCACCCGCTGCCCACCACCAGGAGAGAAGGTGGGTCTAAAGGAGACACTGGGGGAGGTGACACACCCTGAGGGACCACAGTGGAGCCAGGCAATGGGAGCAGGGGGTGGGAGGACAGGGTGCCCTCTCAGGTCACAGCCCTACCTTGGCCGTGGGGGTCTCACCTGGTCCAGAAGCATCACGGAGGATTTGATGATCTCCCGCCACTTCTGCAGCTCGGAGTCGTGGTACTTCTGCTGGGACTCCAGCAACTGGGCCCACTCTGTCTGGGACTGGGGCAGCCTGGCAGCACAACAGGGGCAAGAGTCACTCTGGGCAAACTGCAGAGGGTGGAACCAGCTTCTGGCTAAGCTTTTCACCCCAAAGGGGCAGGTTTTCTTGAGCAAAAGTGAATTTCCATCAGTTGGATTCCGTGGCTGCTGACAGGGAATAATGCCATGCCATGTGATGCTGTGGGGCAGGGCAGCCCTGCACAAGTTTCTGTGGTTTGCTTTTTCTAGACCTGCTCTGTCAGTCTTTATTAATCTCATGTAATTTGTTCAGGACTTTATTTTGAATTAAAGCTGCATTGGCTCTCTTTTCCATGGCTCTCTTCCTTCAGGCCAAATTAACCCCCCCTGAACAGGGTGGGAGGCATCAGGACAGATGGAAGCACTCAAGGTGCTTGGACAGGTTCAGATACTTCCATAAAAATCATGGATGCAACACAAAACTTAACTGTGTGGGGCAGGGAAAGAGGTACCCATGTAATTCCAGAACATGCACATTACAGGATATAAGTTCTGTACTTAAATACTATATTGTAGTCTAAATAAACACCAAGAGTACTAGAGAAAGATAAAATCACCTAAAGTATCTATCCATGGGAAAGTAACAGGGCTATTTTGGGGAAAACAATAATTCTCTTCTCTAATAAGGAGAAATGAGAAAGCCCTTGAGACAAATCATGCAAAAAAAAAAATCAACACAATGGTAGAACGTGGCTAGGAATGATGGAGTCAAACCCAACACAGCAAGGGAACAACTGGGACTGCAAGAAAGGGACATAAAGGGGCAAAAAAACCTTAGATAAGTGGATTCAGATTGTTCACAACCTCTAAAAAAAAACCCCAAGAGACCATTCAGGCAGGATACCTGGCATTTAAGGACATGACATAAAAAAAGCATCACCTAAAAATGCCAGAGGGAATCCAGGACACACAAACAGGCATGGGACATCAAGGTCACCACTGGAAATGCCACCTCCAACAAGGTGCTCTAGAGCCTCTGACCCTGGCCAGGATGAGGGAGCTGACACCATAAATATCACAAAACCTGGGAGAGCCTCTACCACCCCCTCAGCCAAAGCCCAGGCAGGTGTGACAGTACCTCTCCTGCAGCCTCAAGCCCTGCCACGCCGTGAGGGTCTGTGTGGTGTATTCCAACATCCAGAGCTTGTAGAACAGCATCATGTTGAGAATGACCAGCAGCACCAGACTGGAAAGAGGGAAAACAGCCAGTTCAGCAGGAGCACTTCCCAGCCCACACTGCCAGGCACACCTGGGAAATGCCCAAGGTTTGAGAAGGTGTCTGAGGCCCAGGTCCACGCTGCGTGTGAGTGGGAGCTTAATCTGAGTAAGGACCAGGTGGGTCAGAACCCAAAACTGCACCTCGTGGAAGAAATGCGTGAGCAAGGAGGACAGAGAGACAGAAAGACAGGGATGAGGGATCAGCCAGAACAGGTTTGGATGGGTGGATGTGCTGAATGCAGAGAGAGAGAGGAAATGGGAGAGTAAAGAGGTAAAAAAAGAGAGAGACAGTACCTGAAACAGATCCTAATGGGAGCAGGGAAGAGAAAAGACGGAGCAGCTGCAGGTTAGAAACGGACTGACACAGAACAGGAGAAACTGGGCTGAGAGGAGGAGGCTCACAGACAGTGCAGGAGGTAGAGGGGGGCCAGGGGAGGAGAAAGGAACAGTGGGAAGAGAGGCAGGAAGGACAGACAGATATCCCTGTGCCTGCATTCCTGGTGCAATTCACCCAGCAAAGCTGAGCTGTGGCTCTGGGGGATGAGCCTGAAGTCTGACACCCAGCCAAACCCCCCATTCCCAGCACTGCTGGCACTGGGAACACCACCACAGCCAGGCCCTGCACTGCCCCTCTCACCCACCACCACCACACACGGGCATTTCCTCTCCTCCTGGGCAACAGATTCCAAAATACCAGCCTGGTGCCTGTCCCTGCACAGAGCAGCTATTCTGCTGGAAGAATGGCCCACTATCACCAGCTCAGTCAGGAGGATGGCAGCTGGCCAGAGGAGTGTTCTGAAATCATTATCGGGGTGCTCTGACCTAAGTGAAGCTCACAGCCTGTCAGGAGAGATTTTGATAAAGCTTTTTTTGTACCTTTCTACTATTCTCTTATCGTGACAGGACTTGACATCACCTTCCCAGCCACTGGCTGGGTTACTGCTGCAAAACTCTGCAGTCAGTGCCCCCACTGGGAAAAGGAAACACAGGAAGGAGCTCAATTTGAACTGTTAAGTTCAGTCTACAAGTTCCAGCTTCTTCCCACCTCAGTGAAAGGTGGCTGGAGCTTAAGGAAAGACTGAGCTTAAGGCAGAAAAAAAACCACCCTGTACCTGGATTGCTCCTTTAGTCTGGACTGCTGCACAGCAACCACTGCAGCACCAACATAGGGAGCTCACCCAAGAGGCAGAGAACCAGCAGATACACCTGAGTTCAAGTACTACACTGAGCCACAGGGATACAAGGGGACCATTCCCAGCTCACTTGGAGCACACACATCCAAATCCAAGACTAGCAACTGGGAAAGGTGTGGCAGAAAGACACCCCAAACCAAACACAGTTCTTGCTGCTGAACTAGGAAAATCAATCTCTTGTTGCTTCACATGGTTCTATCCTTATTTTGCAGAAATCATCTCTAAAGGGTCCAGCTTGTTTTTGAGATGGTACCTCTAATCCAAATCACCCCCCAGGACCAGACCCAAATAGGTTTTGTCAGAGCAGAATTGCCCCACAGAATCTGAACCTTGTTGTGATAGACAGTGGCTTCCAGAGAGCTTTGCCTGGTCCTTGTTCTTGGTAATGGTTGATTTGTGAGCAGAATACATTAAAATACTTATTTTAAATTAAAAACATCCCACGTTTTATAGATGTCATTGAAAATCTCTAAACTGAGTCCCTGAAATAAAAAAGACTCTCCTTTTTCTCTTTTTTTTTTTTTTCCCTCTCTTTTTGTGTTTCTTCCCTTTTAGGTATCGACTCCCCTCTCCTTGCAATCATCACTGTCCCAAACAGGTCCCAGACCTGCATTCAGGACTCCCAAAAACATGCAGGTCTACAAAGCCCATGTTTGGTTTAAAAAAGGGTAAAACTGAGCAGAAAGAAGGGAGCACAGAACACCAGAAATGCAGACAAGCCAAAGTTGTTTAAGGCTGACCGTGAAGGAAAGCAAAAGCCCATCACTTACACAAAACTGATGACAAGGAGCAGCTTGGAGACACTCTGCAGGTGGAAGCCACTGGGGCTTTCCTCGGGGATGTGCCGTGTCTGAGTGGAACCTGAGGAGATGGATGCATTTAGGACAGGGAATGACGTCCCTTGTCCCTCTCAGAGAATCAACCAGGTTGGAAAAGACCTCTGAGATCATCGAGTCCAACCCGTGACCCAACACCACTGTGTCACCCAGCCCACGGCACTGACGCCACATCCAGTCTGTTCTTAGACACCTCCAGGGCTGGTGACTTCACCCCCTCCCTGGGCAGCCCATTCCAATGTCTGATCACTCTCTCTGGGAAGAACTTCTTCCTGACGTCCAACCCCTGGTGCAGTTTAAGGCTGTGCCCTCTGGTCCTACTGCTGGGAGAAGAGACCAACCCCCACCTGGCTCCCCCCTCCTGCCAGGGAGCTGCAGACAGTGATGAGATCTCCCCTGAGCCTCCTCCTCTCCAGGATGAGCTCCCTCAGCTGCTCCTCCCAGGACCTGCGCTCCATATCCCTTCCCCAGCCTCGCTGCAAGGCGAGCAGAGGTGCCTCTGCCCCTCACCTGCCACGTGCTTGATCCGATGTGCCACCTCCTCGTCGGTGGGGGTGGTGACGGGGCTCAGCACCTCCTCCAGGTGCGGCACCCGCAGGTGGCCGTGGGCGCGCTTCCTGCGGCGCACCGCGGGCTGCTTGCTCGCCTTCTCCTTGGGGGATTGTCGGTGCACCTCGGCCAGGTAGGTGCTCTCTGTCTTGGCCAGCTCGCTCTCTGCAGGGGCACAGCACAGGGGGGGGGATGTTTCAGAGAGGTGTGGTGCTGGTTTTGTACAGAGAGGGAGATTGAAGACCTCTAAGACAGCCTCTGAGCCCAGGCTGCCCGACAGGGAGCAGCACTTGATGCCCTGGTTAATCCCAGCCCCTTTTATGAACCATTCCATGCCTAAACCATTGGAAGTGTAGATACCCTTCTGGAAGATCAGGGCTTGTTTCACTTAGGAAGCCTTTCCTGCCTAAGAAGAAACCCCTTTCTCCTGGATAATCCGGGTGTTTTATCCTCTTGTATTCCAAAGGAGAGTTGCAGTCTCTCTCTCTCTCTCTCTGAGATTAAGAGAGATAAACTCTCTCCCCCCAGGGCCTGGGGGGAGGCTGGCAAAGATAAAAAGCCTCAAAGAGAACAGGAGGCCTCTGTCTTTCTGAAGCCCAGTGCTTTTTGCAGCACTGCTAGAAGTTATTTTTCCCCTTCTAAGTCCAGTGTTCTCCACCTGGGAATAAATTTTCCAGAACTCTTTCTGCTGCTTGGCATTTTGGGGGTACACGTGTGTTATCCTGCTTCAGAACCACGGCAGGTGCCACTGCCTGCGTGTCACTACCACAGTCACTGCCCCACTCTTACCCAAGTGACGGAAATAATCCTCCAGGCCGCTCCAAAAATTCTTCTCAATGAAGGATTTCACCAGCCCCCAAGGCTGTTTCCTGTAACGTAACTCCGTGGAAACCCTGGGAGAAGAAAGGATGGTCATCCTCCCCGTTTTGAAATAGCAACTCACACCCTCTGTCACTAGTAGACCTAAAAAGTAATTTAAAAAGCTTTGCCTGATACCAAATTCCTCTGCTTCTCCCCACAAGTGCATCTCACTGGCACAATCCCTGGAATTATGTCCTGTTGCTTATCCCAGGCAATGACTGCGTGTGACAACCGGCCCTGCTTCCAAGAAAGGGCAAGAGAAGTCTATAAATCCTGTCCCTGACCAGCTGTGACTCCTCTGCATCGGGTCTGATGTTTGCTTGATGCCCAGCAGGTTCCTGCCCTACTCTTCCTGACAGGAGTGTTCCAGCAACAGGACAAAGAAATAAGGCTAAGAGTCCCTTTCAACCCCTTCTAACACACCCAACAGCAGAACTCCCACCCCAAGGCGACTTTTTGGTGACCAGAAAAGCTCTTCAATCCCCCAAAAAGCGTACCTGAGTCGGCTTTTGTTTCTGGCAACACGAGTCAACGTGTAGCGGTTGATGGTGTAGAAATAATCGTGGTAGGGGACGTCGTGGGTTAGCACCTCTGCATCTATGACATAGCACTCGCTCTCCTGGCTGGCTTTGTACATTGTCTGCACAAAAGACAGCGTGCAGGGCAACTGTTAGAGTGGTTGGAACACACCTGCACAAAACAGCTCCACCATAAACACGCACATCCACGCCCCTGCCCCGCCTCTGCTTCTCCAGGAAACCAAGTGTTTCACCCAGATGTTCCCCAAGGGTGTATTTCAAAAGGGCTTTAAGTTCCAGCAGCTCAAGCTCCAGTATTTTGTAACAAGAGATGAGGAGCAGTTCTTTGGGACCTTTGCAAGTATGGCCTCTGTTCTAATGTCTGGCTTGTCAGGGACCAACCTGAGTCAGAGCCAGTCATGGCCCTGCTTTGAGCAGAGGCCTCTCTAGCATAAATTATTCTGTGATTCTAAACACCATAAAAACATGTTAATTACTTCTTTTTAAGTTCTTCTGATCTGCTTCCTTCTTTGCTCCAGAACAAACCTCACAAAGGGGACGCAGTTAACTGCAGATCCCTGTACAAAAATATGGCTTTTCTTACAGACTATTTCCACTTACCTCTGCAGCAAGGGCACAGCAAGGTGTGCCTTGGTGGGTGACCCCAAACTCAGCATGAAATAGGCCATATCTTTGTCTGAAAACGTGCTGTTCCCTTTGCCCATCACTTTGCTGTCCCCTTTCCTTTCCCTTCCCTGCACAGTCTTGGTTTCTGAACTGCAAGCTTCATCCCATCCTCCCCAGTCACACCTTGCTGCTGGGGTTCTCCTTCCATCCTCCCCAGTCACACCTTGCTGCTGGGATTCTCTTCTCCCTGAAATGGAATGCTCAGACTCCCTCTTAGTATTCCCTAATACTAACCCTAACTCTCAATATTTACCTTTGGCCACTTGAACATATTTCTGGACAAGGAAAGAGGCTTTTCCTCCTCTCCAGCTGCAGCTCCCATTGGATACAGCCAGCCTGGCTCCTCCCAGTGCATTCATTGCAGGTCCTTCCCTTTTTTTTATCTTCTTAAATATATCTCATTGTCCTCCCCATAATCAAAACATCTTCCTGAGGAGCTGTGAGAAGGACTGGCCACACAAGTACCTGACTTTCTTTGTGCCCTGCTCATAAATAACATCTGCTGGACTGGCAGCACCACAGCCCTGCTCCCCACTCACATACCTGTGTCTCTGTGACAGTGGCAGTTTTGGGGGCCAGAGGGTTGGTGAGGGTGATGGTATACAGGATCACTCTGGTCTGATTGCCATTTTCTTCCTTCTTCCAGGGATTAAAGATAATATCTGAGGGGACAAAACAACGTTACAGTTAAGCTATCAGAGAGGGATCTCTGGTCATTCTCTAGGGAAAAGCATAACCAGCTTGGGGCAGTAATTCCTTGTCCTTGCAGAGCCTGGCTGCAGAAGCACTAGAGCTCAGCAGAGTGTGAAAGAAAGGGCTCCTGAGCTAAATGGGAATATTTTCCCCTCTTTGAAGTGCAGGGATTGGGAACAGATCTCCTTCAGCAAATCTACACTTACAGGGAAAGGAGAACCACAACATGCCAAGGGACACTCTCTGCACCACCAAGTGCAGTGTCTGGTGTAGAGCCAGCAGGAGCTTTCTCCTCACACTGCATAGCCCTGAACATGGGATCAGGCCTTAGCTGATGCTAAAAACTAAGAGGGTCTGCTTCTTCCACGAATTTTGCTGCTAGAAAATGAAACCAGATGGGCAAGCAAGGCCGGTTCTGCCTGCTTTTGATTACTGACAGCACAGGCTGCACCGTCCCAAAATCAGCTCGGAATGTGACCCAGTCCCTCCAGCAGGCAAAGATACACCTCCAAGGCAGAGATTTCCCTTCTGCACAGGCCCTGTGCCTCAGCAGGGACCTCAGGCTCACCAGAGAAGCGGCGCTGCTCCATGAAGTCCCTCTGGAACTGGGAGTCTGTGAAGAGCAGGTCGTAGAGCTTGTCCACGCTGAAGTTGAACACCTCGTTCACGTACTGGCGCCCATTCAGGTCCTCATAAAAGGCTTGGACTTCCCCTGTGGGGAGACAGGCCCTCAGTTCTCAGAACTTTATCCCTTGTGAACCAGTTTTCTACCTCTGAATATTTAGCTTCAACATATCTGTCCCCCAGGGCCATGTGAAGAAGGAAGAAGAGGGACTTCTAACCCTTTTCCTCCACTGATCCCAGGACAACAGTTGGAATGTCAGAAGGGGTAATCATCTCCCATAGCTTATTTTAGGGATATCCTCCCAAATACCCCACATATCCACTTTCTGCAAGCACACAATGGGAATCCTTTGCATCTTCTGAACTCCAGAAAAGCAATCCAGTATTTGACACTCCGGTGCCTCGTTAGATAGGGTGTAAAACACACTGAGGGAGTGGCCCTTCCCCACACACACCTTCATCGTGGGTCTCTGAGGAGTCACTGAGCTCAGTGGGAATGTCTTCGTTGTCATTGAAGTCCAGGGAAGGGGAGTTCACAGGGCCAATGATGTCCATCTTCTCTCCCATGATATTTGCAATGCCGAGGTCTTTCTCCACAGGGCTCTCTGCCACTGCCTCCTCCTCTTCTGGGAGAACTCCATCGAACTGCAGCAAGCACAGAGCACAGCGAGGGCAGGGTCAGCACCTGGGAACTGGGGCTTATTTCTGAAAACTTCCTATTTGGGAACCAACTGTCTACCTCTGGATATTTGGAATATTAGCCTTGACTTGTCTGAAAGCTAAATAACAAAGAGAGGAGGAAGGTTGCTATGTGGTGGTCGTAAAACACGTGGATATATTGGATCACCTCCTGTCAAACAGTCAATGTTCAAGCTTTGGACACCACAAGCCTTTTTCATCCAGACAAGCACACAGACAATACTAGTTTTGCTCTCAAACAAGCTGAAAAACCTGAGGTCATAACTGAACAAGGTCTGCTGTGCTGTAACACCACGAGGGCACACGCTGTTTCCAGGGGAATAACTGAAGGCAGCAAAGAAATGATAACCCTTTCATCTCCCACATTCCATTTCTTTCCATCTGAGGGCATGGAAAGGAGAATGCACATGGCCCCAGGCTTTTAGGACAGGCACACCTAGCTCACTTTTTTTTGGCCAGGTTGAGGCCTGAAGTGAGTGGAAGAGCAGAGCAGTCACCTCACAGAACCAAGGGGCTGTGGGATCCCAGGCAGGATTCCTGCTCCCAGGGCAGGGAGGACACTCACCGAGGCTGGAGCTTCACTGCTCCCCGTGGATGTCAGAGTGCTGGCAGTGACAGATTTCTTTGGCAGCTGAGGGCTGGCTTCTGGCTTGGCCTCCATGCTGCTCTTGGAGGAGCTGTCGTTGACCTCGTTCTCCTCCACGGGGATCTCCTCACAGTAGCTGAGATGCCACAGAGAACACAGGTTTTTATATTTACCCCTCTCAGTACAGCTACAACTGGACACACAGAGCAAGTGAGAACAGTTCTGTGAAGTTTCCAGCGTGGCCAAGAAGCAGAAGTGGCTCAGTGAAGCCCAGACTTCTCAGTGTTTCTACACAGACCAACAAGCATCAGCACTTTCTGACCATGTAACCTCGTGACTGGGGTGCTCTGGCATTTACACAATTGCCCAGCTGGCATTTCAATCCCTACCAACTTCCATGAGGAGATGGCAGGCTTTCAGTGTTTCAGGCCTTACACATTTAAGGGTCAACATCTGGCCACATCCCAGAACCTCTCACCAGGGACAAGCAGCACTCTGAGGTCTGCAGTATATCCTGCTCTCCTGGGGCCACCTTTTCTTCCTCCCAGGCAGAGTTTCCTCCTCCTCCTCACTCACCCCATTGTGTTGAAGTCATCATCAGGAGGCACATAGTCTTCATCATCACTGGTCAGACCCAGCTCGTTCCCATAACACTGGTGGACAAAGTGCCAGAGCTCCTTTGGACACAGAGGCTAAAAGGGAGTGGAGAACAGCACACATTTGCATCCAAAACCACTAAAATATAATGCAAGTTGGGAATTCCCATGGTCAGGAGTACATTTCCTGCCCTGAAAGGAGAAGGGAGAGATTCCCATCTGATGGGAGGTGAGAGCCTTACGCTGCACTCACCTCTGTGAAATGCCATTTTATGGAATTTATTTTGTTAGGCCAAGCTGGCTTAGAGATTGCCCCCATCAAGAGGCTCTCTTCACCAAAAAAGCCTTCACCATCAGCCCAGGTTCTGCCCTAAAAACTGACTTGGTTGGGATGAGATTTTCCACTCTACAATGGAATAATGCCAGCAGCAAACCTGCATTTCCCTCCTGCCTCTTCTGTTGCGCTTCCATTTAATATCTGCTACTTTACCAAGCCCCAGCAGGGGGAACTTACAAGGAAAATAACCTTACAAGGTTATTTTCCCCTTCGAGTTTGCTTAAATTAAAGCTGCTTGAAAAATCCCAGCTGCAGGGAAAACGACTTAAAGCAGCAACAAAGAAAAACACTTCCTGTTGCAATCTGAAATCAAAAAGAGTTTGTATCACCAGACACTGCTGTGAAAAGTATACACTTGAGATAAAAAGAGAAAATAAATTATCCAGAGTGTTGACAAAAGCCCAGTTTTTAAGGGATGCAGGTCAGTTGACCACCATATGACTGTGATCTGAGGTTCTCAAAAATGGGCCAGAACTTGTGATTTAAATATGTGGTTGAAGGATAAAAAGGGATGGATTTTTACCCAGGAGAAACTTATGACCAACGACAAAAGATTTCTTGGTAATGAGGGAAAACAAATCCAGTGAACTTTTTCTGAGTTGCTGGCTTTAATTTCTTCCCATAGTAACTGCATGGGATAAGGCAGGAATTTTTTAATCCAGCTCCCAAAAGTAGCAATCAAAAGCACGGGAAAAAAACCACACTCTAATGAGGAACTTTTATCCAGAAAAATGTCTGACTGTTTCACCTTCTCCCCACACACACTCTAATTGGCACCTTTTACCAGGAAAACTGGACTAGGTCCTTTCTCCCCCTCTTGGAAAAAGCTCTGGAAGTCTTTCCTGTCCTTATCACTCCACTTCTCAGATCCCATTTGCTCTGACCTTGAAACCAAGGGCACTGAACTTTGTCAGGAACTTCCAGAGGCTCCTCAAATTACAGCACATGGCCCAATACAAGCTGCCTGATGCAAAGCGATCCTCGTGCATCCCAAATACTCCCCCGATTTTCGGGACGGGGTATTCCAGGGGCTGGATTACTTGAGCCTCCCAGTAAGGCCTGAACTCCAGCCAGGACATCCTGAAACGCTGGAAGCACTGGAACATCAGTTCCTGAGGCTGAGGAGCGAGGCCAGAAATACCCACCAGACTGTGGAGCAGATATTTGGATCAAATATGAGATATATGGAGCCTCTGGCACAGCAGGAGCACATCCCTGCTTTATTTTAAAACAGCCCTGAGTGCATCCTGCACCCATCACCGCTCTCCTTGGCGTTTGGGATGCCCTGAACACTCTTCTTCTGCCCTGTCTTGAACTCCACACACTTCTGAAGCACAGAGCTCTGCCTGCACACTGAGCTGTTCCTCTTGCCTTTTGAACTGCTTTCTTCTGGGCTGCTTCACTGGAATCACAGCCTTCCAAAAATTCCCTGCTGAGACCCAAATGTTTCCACTCGCCAGCAAAGGCAGAGTGGCACCTACAGGGTGTGCACAGAATTCCACGTAAAAAGAAGGGATTGCACCTGCAGTTATGAACATGCCCTGCCTAAAAATAGGTGCCTGCTGTCCCAATGTCTTTTGAGGTACATACAGCAGTCAGGTTACATCCATCCCCTCCCTTCCATCCCACCCAACGGGGAGGTGATGGTTTCAATACCTTGTCAAGCAGAGCGTTCTGCCAGAGCCTGAACATCATCATGTACGTCCTGTCTCGAGCCCCAAAGGAGGTAAAAAAGTGCTGAAAGGGAAGAGATGGGGAGAAAAATCAGTTCAGAAAAGGCCCAAAAAAGGGAATATGAAGAGACAGACTGGTTTGGATCCCCTTTCCAGCTGCAGTTCATGGAAGGACTGAGCAAACCACACTGGATGTTTCACCTGGCCCCACACCCCCATCTGAGCTCCGTGTGTTCCAGACAGAACAGGGAGCACGACCAGTCAGTTCAGAAAAATCCCACACCACACCCAATTCCCCTGCCCCCCTGAGAGCCATCAGAAGGGGGAGCTTCAAGGATGTACCTTTTCAGTGTCAGTGCAAACTTGGATGGCATTGGGAATGAGCCGTGCCGTTTTCTCCTTGGTCATGGAGCAGATGTCCTTCAAGCGAACGGTCAGCTGTGGGCAGAGCCACCCAGGAAGGAAAGAACATGACAGGATGAGAAAGACAATGAAAAGAAGCGCTTCCAGAGCAGTGCCAGCAAACCTGCTGACACCAAGCATGCTGGCACACAGCCTGACAGCCTCACCAGTGTCTCCCAGCGGAAGATGTTGCTGTAGAAGCAGATCCAGTTTTCCGAGAGGTAGAGGCGGCCCTGCAGGAGGATGTCTCGTTGGAGAGCACATGAGTAATCTGTGGGTGGACAGCAGAGGGGTTTAGGAGCAGCAAAAACCAGACAGCAGGACAGCATGAAGGTGAGGATGAGTGGCAGCACGGAGAGAAGAAGTGCTCCACACACCCCAGTCGAGCCCCAGCTGCTGCTCCGGCCACTGGGTTATGTTTCCTCCTGAGGGCACATCACACACAGTCTCTCTCACTGACTGATGATCCTGCCTTATCAGCTGGCCACTCTGTAGCATCCTATGTACGACTGCCAGATTTAATCTGTCCACTCCATTTTGCCTTCTAGTGCCATTGTTCACTTCTCTCCCAGCTCGAGCATCCTCAACAATTCCCACCCCTCTGCTCCGACGTGCCTCGTTCAGCAGTGTGGGACACAGCCTGAGATCAGCAGTTACACAAGAGAGAACAGATGCAATGTTCCTGCACTGGGCAGCCCCTCATCAGCTGTGAGGCCCAAGCTTCAGTGGGTATGGGAAGGGCACCCACGTGTGAGCAGGGAGCATCGGGAAGTGAGGAAATAGGGAAGCTCACATCAGGACCTGCAACCCCCACCCCACGAGGCCACAAAGAACCCTCTAAGACTCTTTTTGAGTATTAGAAGGGCACAAACACCCTGTCAGCGTTTGGGGAACACCGGGGAGGAAAACATGCTCCTCAAATCATGAGGGAACTGATCACAAATCGGTGCTGGAAAACGAGTGGAACCCATCGGGAACGGTGAGGAGGGGCTGTGTCTGTGCACAGCAGACACAAGGGGCTTGTTTCTTGGTGGTAACCTCTTTGGAGAAGGAAAATCTGGATGCACACATGCTGGATTTGCCGCCAGCAGGACAGAGCACAGCCCTGAGGGGCTGGACTTACCCACGATGAGACGCTCCGTGTCCGGGAGCTGCTTGAAGAGCTTCCTGAAATCCTCATTCCGTTGTTTGTACGTTGGACTCAACACCTGCAAATAACAGAGGGCCTGGTAAAGAGAGGGGCAGGCATGAGAACAGAGCCATGGAGAGGGAAAACAGGACCACCTCGGGAAGGAGAAGGGGGGTCAGATGCACTCACAAAGCATGAGGCCGGCTCCCATCACAGCCAACAGAGATGGGAGGGTTTGGGATTTAGTGCATTAAGTGAGAAGATGAGGAGAACCTGACTTGGAAGAGCAAGTACAGGGTAGAAGGGCTGCACCCATGCCTGCAGCCAGGAAGCTGTGGCTGCAGGAGAAATCTCCTTCCCTGCCATCCCAAACTGCACAAGGCAAGGCATGTGCTCTGTTTGCAATGCCTCAGTTAACTGCCAATTCCCAGCTGAGCTCAGCTACCCCAGCAAGTAGGTGATTCAGTGCAGCTGCAGCCCTGCCAGAGGAACTTGAGCAACCCCTGTCATCAGGAGCTCAGGAATGCCACTCTCATCCCATCCCTCTCGCCATGGAGCGGCACCCAGTGCACACACAGCTACGTGCTGGTGTGATGAGGACACTTCTGTGGGGCTCAGAAAAGGCTCTCACAGGGACTAAACTGTGTCATGCACTCATTTTGTGCCCTGGCCTCATGGAAGGGCTCGGAGAACACGGTGCTGTTGGCTGGAGGGAGAGCAGGAGCTGGCTCCTCTTTGGGATCTGCTGAACTACAATGCCAGTGTCCGTGCCAGACCACCTCCTCCACACCCTGCCCTGCTGACAGCTGCCCAAAGCAGCCACAACAGCTTCTGAAGGCAGAGCTGCCCAAAATAGGGGCAGGTGCAAATTCCCACCTACCAGATAATCTGCCACGTTCTTCCTCACACGAATGTAGGGAAGGTGAAGCCTCCTGGGGTACAACCTCTTCCCTCCCTACCTCCCATTTCTCCCCAACCACCCTCTCCTATCTCTTCCAGCTACACAACACAAATCTCCCAGAGTAGAAAGGGCCCAAAAAAATTAAAGGCAGCTTCTGTATGAGACTGGTGGTGGAGGAGTCACAGGGATGGGAGGAATGTGAAGTTTATTTAGCATTAGCCTCACGGAATTGCCAAATGCTGTCAAATCAAAGAAGTTTTGATTTTGGCTGTCAAATCATAGACAAACACCCCCCCCCCACCAGAAGCATTCCCTCTTCCTCACACCAATTCAGTGAACTATAAACAGTAGATTTCAACATGAGCTCAGCACTTCCAATACTCGCTCCAGTCCTGTGGGCCCAAAGGAAAGGATCTTCCTTCAGAATCAAACCTGCCAAGCAGCAGATGACACAAATGTGAATTTTACTCACCAAACTTCTAGCCTGAACATCTGGAAAAGATCTTGGTCAGAGATGGGCTCCAGCAAGAGCCCAAGCCCAAGATTTCCAGGAACAAGCAGTCAGGATGGGAACAGAGTGGGGAACAGAGGTTGTGATCAGCTCAGAGCTTTGGGCTCAGTGCATTAACACAGCCCAACTCAGCCCCCCGAGTGGAGGGGCACTGCACTCCCTTCCCTGCACTAAGGGATGTTCCAGCCTGCCTAAAACCCTTCCTACAGCAGATGCTCTGCTCAGCACCAGCAGCTCTGTCAGGTTGGCAAACGGTTCAGTTTAGGGACACTCACAGCTGGGATTCCATCTGATCCAGGGCTCACATTTCCTCGGGATAAGTCGACAAGTCCCTCCAGGTCCCACCGCAGACACGGCAGCTCTTGATCCAGCAAATGATCCCAGAGAGACCCACACTCCAGCAAGGAATCCATGGTGTCCCCTCAGCACTTGCACAGCTCCCCGTGTTCTCCAACTCCGCTTTGCCTGTTCCTGCTCCCACCGCTTCTTGTTTATGTCCAAAGTCGACAGAGATCCAGCAGCTTGGCAGGAGTTTAGGTGCCTTCCCCTACCTTCCTGCTCACTTTCAGCTCCTCTGCCCCAGCAGCCCCTGAGGATCTCGGAGAGGACTTGCCCTCCAGAGGACTCTTTTCCAAGTGGCTCATCGGGGTAACGGTGCTGGCGGGCAACCCCAGTGCTCTCCTGCTCCCGGCTCAGCAGCTCCTTGCCGTGGGCATCCCCTGCAGGAGCCCTGCAGCTCCTGATGTCCAGGGAAGGCAGAGCCAGCCACCAAAACACCTCCAACCCCACCGGAGCAGCCGGAACTCACGGAGAGAGCCGCGGCTTCCAGGGCTCAACAGGCTGGTAAACAACTCACACTTCCAGCTTCTCCCCCTTTCTCCTCTGAAACCAGAAAAGCAGCGATTCTTCCTCCTCAGAGTCTGCCTCGGGCTGTGCTCTCCAATCCCTCTCTGCTCTCAAAGGCAGCTCCAGTCCGTGTGTGTCTCTCAGGGAAGGGGCGGGTGGGGAAGATCCCAAAATGACTCGCCCATGCCTGGAGTCGCTGCAGCCGGGTAATTCCGGCGGCCAATGCCCGGCAGTAACCCAGCCCCGGCCCTGCCTCCCAGCAGATGTTTCCTGTCATGGAAAGTTGCTGGACAGAGCGTGCTGGGGGAGCAGCGAGGGGAGCGAGGAGAGACAAGCCTAAGGAATCAGAAATCAGCCCTGGGAGACCCAGACAGACAGGAATCCGAAGGGCTGCACTGCTCCTGTGTGCACCTCTCTCCCCCAGAAAAAGAACAGGATGCTCCAGGTTTCGTTTATTAGTCAGTATTTATTATTTATTATGGAAATAAAGGGCAAGGGTTTCCTTGCAAAAAACTCCCTGCAAGTCCCAGGAAGACTGGAACTCCCTGTATCCCTCTGCCCTTAGTGCCCAGCCCCTCCATCTCCCTGCTCAGGTACAGAAACGCACAGGGAAATGTTCACACCACGGCTCCAGTGATGCTCAGCTGTGAACAAACAAGTAAAAACCCTCATTCTCAAGGTCTCAAAAAGAACCAAAAGAAAAATACCAAGCAAGCAACCAGCCCAGCCTCTGCAGAGGCCTGGTTCCACTCCAGGCCAGTGATTGCAGCTTGCTCACTGACAGACACTCTGCCTGCTCAGCTGCTCCCCTAAATCACTGCTGCTCCCAGACAGCACACAGCTCTCCCCATTTAACCCTGTTAAAAGGAACCAGCAGATCCATCTGCACCCCAAGGTGAGGGAACAATCAAAAAAACCACCATTCTGTAGCCTGGGAAGGACTAAGAATTAGGATTACAGGCACCTGCACTGCTTTACTGAATGGCCCTCTTTGCTGGAAACTGCATATGGGACTTCATCCAAAATAAAAACCCACCAGGATGCTTCTGTCTCCACCCCCCTCCACCTGCCTGTGCAGAGATGGATGACACCAGTGATGGGAAGAGCTGACCTGGAGGTGGAGGCAGCAAACATTAACTCTACTGCAAACAGAGAGAGACGGGACAGGACGGCACTGCCAGGGGTGGGGGGAAAAGGGCAGAACAGGTGACTCCCCATGGGGACATCTCCCTCTTAGACACAAACAAAACCCTCCCCAGGAGGCCCAAAGCAAATTTTGCTGGGGGATGGGACAGGACAGGGAAGTTGGACAATACACAAGAACCGAGAGATGTGTGGAACTGCACAGCACGTGTCACAAAAAAGGGGTGAGGAGAGATGGCAAGAGGCAGAGGGGGAAGTGGGAAGGAAAACCATATCCAATTTGCATGGCTGATGGACCTGCTCTTAAGTCTTTAGGGATGATTTACATTGCTTCTGGAAAACTGCTGGAAAAGAACAGAATACACTCCCTGCTTGTGTGGGAGAGTTTTGACCCCACTGACAGCAAAGGAACTGGCCACCTGTCCCACAGCATTTCTTCCAAACCTAGTCTGGCTGCTCAGATTTTTCTTCTTTTGTTGTTCTTTTTCTTCTTTTGAAAGCAAATGAAGAGCAGAGGAAGATGCTGCAGAGCAATCACTGGCCACGTGGGGTGGAAAATGGATTTCTGAGTCACACCAGCACGCACCAGAAGTTCACTTCTAATTTAGTGGCTCTACAACCCTCCTGAGCCAGGCTGGCATCCCAAACCCCTAAAGCCAAGGAAAAAACTTGACAGGATGAAAAACACCCGAGAGACAGCGAGTTAATGCCGCTCCAGAGAGAGTCTGACAAAATGGTTACTGCAACTTAAAAAGATGATTGTGCTGATTTAGAGAGCAAAAGGCTGTTCCACACCTTGCTCACTCACAGGCTCCTGATTTCTGCAGTAAACCCTGTTCACGTAGTCGCTGTTGCTGAGTGAGGCTCAGGCTGCCACTCACAGGGAAGGTGTTTCTGATGCTTTCCCTAAAACGATGCATCATTTCTCTTTGTCTCCAGAGGGAACACTTTACTCTTTCCAACAGCTCGAGTCTCCCCTCCACTCTGCCACCTACAAGGCCTCCAAGAAGAAGAGACAGCACAGGGCTGATTCCTCCTGGTGTTCAGTCTTGTGATGGCTTGAGGTTTTCCTTCAGAAGCTCCAGGGCTGCCCAGAGGTCTCCCTTTGCAGCACCACAGGATTCTCAGCCAGCTCCCAACTCCTGCTGCCCAGGCTTTTACTGCAGCTTCCCCCAAGCACAGCCTTGGGCTCCCTCCTTTGCCTGGGTGTGTTTTTGAGGCTGCCCTGTGTGTGCAGAGCAGTTGTTTGCAGAGCTCCACGTGCTCTCCTGTCCCTCTCCGTGCTGTCCCCAGGGCAGACTTTGCTCTCCCAAAGGCAAGTGGGAACAGCTGGGCTCCCACTGATCTGTTCAGACCTACTGGGACAGTTTTTAGTGGTGTTTAAGAACAATCTCTGTTCCAATACACAAAATTACTGAGTAAGTTTGGGGGTGAGGTCTACTCTAATTTTTTTTTAATTAATTTAAAAACACTTTTTAAAATAAAATAAATAAAAAAAATCAGTTACCAATAATTCACCATGCAGACACACAAGTCCAAAGCCTAAGCCACAGCTGGCCAACAGAGTTTTGTTCCATAAGAATCACGATTCTTGTAAAGCAAAGTCTCCACGTCCACAATTCCTCACTAAAGGCATGGCAAACACCTCAGGGACATTCTGCTCTTCCACCACGAGGACACAGAACACAAAGCAAACCCCACAAGGTTGAGTATATTTAGATTTATTCTCCAACTGGGCTTCTCTTCTCAATCTCACAGTGCATCTGGACCAGTTTGCATTTTAGAAAGCCAAGCACAGAGAGCACACCCAGACCCAGAGAGGGCAGGTCTGCAAACCAATCCACGACCCTGGCTCAACCCTTTTCTCCCACTTCTCAACCTGGCAGGGATGTCAATCCCAAAAAAGCACTGGTAGGATCGAAAGGAGAACACATAAGGCAAGAGAACAAGTGGCATTTCAAGGAAAAAAACAGAGAGAAAGGAATCCAGGAGAGGGAAAAGGGAGGGATGCAGTGCTACAAGGACAAAAAGACCAGTTAAAAGCAGCAGGAACCAAAGTCATCTTAGAAAACTGGTGATGCTCTGGGGATCTTTGAGGACTCTTTGAGGCAAAGACTAATTTTTGGGTTGTTTGCACAGTGCCTGGCACCCAGGGCTGCTGAGCTGGCACAAGGAACAATGTGGAGGGTGTTTGCTCTGAGCACAGTGGAATTTATGTAAAATGAAAGTGGGGGGAAAGTGGGGACAGGAATCTGTAAGGCTTCATGAAGAGGCAGCCTCCACTGATTCACTTCTAGAGCTGCTCTCATAGGGGAAAGGAATGGAAGAATCAGAAGGGTCCAAATGCCAGAAAGTCCTGCCTGGAAGGAGCTGGCAAAGAAAGGAGACTGTGCATCAGCAAGTTTTTGGTGGTAGTAATAATTCCAGGTAGGACTGACTGGCTTCCTGGGGTTTGTGGCCCATCCATATTTTCACACTGCTGCTTTTATCTGGCCAGAACATCTCTGCTAACTAGAACATGGGTTTGCTTTTTGTTTTGTTTTCTAAAGGAAAATAATGGGAGGGGAGGGGGGAAAAAACCCACAAAAAATGCAGCCAGTGCTTACTCTCCGGATGTACTGTCTCTCATGCTGAAAATATATGGAGGAAAAACAAGAGAACAGAAAGATAAGATAGAGAGGACATGAAAACACAAGAGACCCACAGAAGCAGAGCACAGCAAAGCATCATGCACAGGGAATGGAGCTCAGCAGCTACAGGCAGAAGCAGTAATAGCACAAGTCACCTTCAGCTTGGTGACAGGGTCACATTTTGGCAGCAGCCTGCTCAGGTTGGTGCATCTGCATCCAGGGTCCTTTTATCTGCCACTTCTCCACTAGCCTGGCCTACCGTGGTTTGTATTTTATTCTTAAAGCCACTGCCTCATCTGAGATCACTTCTCCTCCTGTCCTGGTTACATCCCACAGGCACCTAACTCTGCCTCTCACACCTCTGCCACATCTGACCAGCCAAAATCCCAGGTTTCTGATGTCCCAGGCTGCAGGAAGAACTGTTGCTGAGCATTAACAGCTGCTGCAGCTGCCCACTGTCTGCTTTAGAGCACTCCAGGGAGGGGATCAACCCTGCCAAGTGTGGGGCCAGCTCTGTACCACGACACTCGTGCTTGCAGCACCAAAACAGGGTCAAGGCAGAAGCAAAAGGTGGTTTGTGTTCCTATGGGGTCACTGCAAAATCAACTCCTCCTCGCCCCCACACCACCCTGAGAGATGCAAAGGGCTTGCAGGGTTGGCAGCTGTGTTTGTCACCTCATCACCACCACCCACCCTGTGAGAAACCGGAGGCACAGGGGTGTGGGGATCACCGGGAGAGTGGCTGAAAAGACAAAGCTCTGCTCTCTACCTCTGGCATCCTTGCCCTCAGGATGCCAGGCCTCCTTTGCCAGTGCTGAGCCATTTCCATCTCCGTTTGGAAAGGGTCAGAGTGCCCCAGTGCCACTGCAAAGCCCCTTTGCACCTTCCCCCCACCCCAGCCCAGGCCCCCAGCCCACATCCACCCAGGGACAAGAGAAACGGGAGTACTTACATTATACCAACTCTGGCTTTTCTGTAAGGACAAAATAAAAGAGAAGCATTAGTTAGCACAGAGATCTCAGGATCAAAAAGGAAGAGGGACAGAGAAAGCAGGTCCAATCTGGTTTGTGTAATTAGTGGAGTGAGAGCGGGATTAAACAGAAGATTTCAGTGGGTTCCACAGTGTGGTCTGAACACAGTTATTTGCAGTTACAGGAGCAAAGAACAAATCCAGAAGCATGATTCCATGATAGGAAACAGTTCAGGCTAAGGTGTGCATGTCCACATGCACACACACACACACAGACTGGCATCTTTTCTGCAGACCAGCAGCACCTGCTACAGCACAGGAGCTCATCACCATCACCATCATCACCACTGCCAGCCGTGTCTTTAGGGGCTTCACTCTTCTACATTTGCTGGCTGGGTGGCAAAAATCACATTGCTGAACAGCCCCTGTGCAAATAAACCCTCAAAGCACTACCAGAGGCAGGGACAGTTCTACTCACAAAAGCCATCAGGCAAGTTTTTTTTTCAACAGCATTTTAAAAGGGAGATATACACACAAACACACACACAGAGCCAGGGAAAGTGCTGAAGGAAATCACTACAAAAGCTAAGCAAGGGGGGGGAAAAAAAAAAGGCTGGGATTTTTTTTTTTTTCTTTTCAGAATTTCAGCGCACAGTGTTTTGCATCATCTGCACATGTGATTTTTTGGGGGTTATTTTTTGGCCTTATCATGGCATTTCAGGTGGTTTGAGAGGACAGGCCACACTGGAGCACACGAAAGAGCTCAGCTTGGAAAGTCACACTCAGCAATTTTCAGCTGGAGGTGAGATTTACCTGCACAGGGAGAGGGAGGAATAAGCTTCCCACTCCCACTCCAGTCAGGGTGGCTTTCCAATGACACTGAGCTGAGCTGACAGGACATACAGGCATCCCCCATTTTTGGGTGGAAATACCTCAGGGCACTGCACCCTTTGAGCACTGAGGGTGCTCAGCTCCAGGTACAGGAACACATTTCAGAGCCACAAAGCTGGGCTGTCCCCTCTCCCCAGCCATTCCTTGGGGAAGCCCAGGATAACAGACAAGGACAGCAGCAACATTTCCCTGCACTCCTCTCTTTGAAGCCACCTTGCTTCTGACCTTTGGGAGTATTTTTCACTCTTTACACCCAGCTGGGGGTGTGAAGGAAAGCACACTGTTCTCTGCCTTGTAACAGAGAGTTTCACTCCGAGTGAAGCTCATGCTCACAGCAACACAGAAACCACCTGCACTGGGCCCACAGAGGACCGAGGACACACAGGATGTTTTACCACAAGAAAAGTACATTCAAAGTGTCAATGAGAGCAGATTGGACCAAAGATTTCTGTGAGGACACGCTGTTTTCTCCCTGCCACTCCAGCAAACACAGCCTTACTGGGATCGTGGATTTCGTTCATGGAGACAAACGTTTCGGAAGGATATTTTAAAACCCTGATCTCAACCCCCCCCCCACGGTTACACAGTTCATGCCACAGGCTAAAATACAACAGTCTGATGTTAAAAAGAGGACTTTGGACTTCCCCAGAACCCAGGGAAAGGATATGAACTGCAGGACTGAACACACAGTACGGTTCATCAGCTACCCAGAGGAATTTCCTCCTGCTTCCTACACTTTTCCATACTTGGCCATACCCTCCCATTCATAAAGGACCTGCCTGAAGTCATCCCTCCCTGCAAGAAGGACGTGGAAAAAGGCCTTATGCAATTCAGTCTACACTAAAAAAAGCATCAGGGTAATTAACCCAAAGCATGCACACAGCACCTTGTCCTCAGGAGCACGGGGCCTGAGATGGAGTGGTTTTTCCTGCAGATTTGTTTTGCCATCTGTCTGCCTTTAATGAGCAAAAGGAGTAACTCAGAAAATTCCTGGGGAAAAAGCAGCTCATAATCAAGCTATAATTGGCACACCCAAGGCAGAGGCACTGCTGTCACTGTGCCTTCTAAATCAGGGTGCACACGCTGTGGTGGCAGCACAGCACAACAGGATTTCACTCCCCTCTGCTGCATTAATTGCAGCAACTATTCCCCCCACCACCTCACATCTGAACTTCCCCAAATTAAGGGGCTCCTCCATAGAGGAGCTCTGCAGGTTCTCCTTTTTTAAGCTCTTCCACACACACACAAAAAAATACTAGCATCAATAAATACACTGAAATCCATAATTACAGCGGCATCCAAGCCTCATCTTTTGCCTCCACCAAATGTTCCAACAGACTACAAAAAGTTCAAAGAGAAGGCAGACTGAGTCCTTAAATCTCTCTTCTATTTTATTTACCCTTTTATTTTATGCTCACTGACAGAATACAGGGGGATGTGAACTGTGAAAACCAAGAGACAGTAAAATGGAGGGGGGAAAGAAAGAAAAAGGAAGAAGATGTTTCTTACTTTGAGCAGGTTAAGTCTGTCATACTGGAAAAAGAAACCATAAACATTAGAACTGAAAAGAGAAAATAAATAAGTAACAGAGGAATGGAGGTGCACACAAACATGGAAAAGATGGGACTGGTTGGCAGAGATGATGCTACAGGAGCAGAGAGCAGAGGAAGAGCTTTGGAGAACTTGAGCAACGTGAAAAATGGAGTATTTTCCCTAAGCCTTTAATTAATACAGCACTGCCTCTAAATCTCCACGGGTTAATCACCCCACATTTGATACACTGCTATGGAAGAGCACAGCTTTGCAGTGCAGATGGGAAGCAGAGGGTCACAACAGACCAAGTTCACCCTGAGAGCTTGATCCAAAGGAAGCTCCCACCTTCCAGCATCACTGGGAGCAGGATCACAGCTCACTCCCACACACTGCTGCTTCCAGGGGAACAGAAAGCTTGTGCCAAGTGAATGACATGCCACACACAGGGCTCCAGGAGCATCCCTAAATCCCTTTTGTTGGGGGCAGAGGCACAGAACCAGGGTGAGGGCAGAGCTTGGAATGTATTCCAGAGCCCTTTCTCCTGATCTGTGCACTTCCAGAGTCTCTGCTGTCCACCTCTCAATAGCCAATAATCCAAGAAATTGATTAAATTCATTCCCCAAACCTTCACCCCAGCCCAAAATGACCAGAATTTCATGAGCTACAACCTAAGGGGGGATTATACCACCCAGTGGGAGGGTGAATGAGAAGACACAGCCAAACTCTTCTCATCATCACAGAAAGGACAGGGTGCAACAGTCATAAGCTGCAGAAAAGGGAAATTCTATTTGGATAGAAGGGAAAAGCCTGTTCACAAGAGTGGTTAAGCACTGGAGCAGGGGCTGGGGGATCTCCAGTCCTGGAGGTCTGCAAAAAGTGGCTGGCCAAGACTTTAGACTGAGCTTATCTTGCCACATCAGCCCTGCTTTGAGAGAGACCTTCCAAGATCCCTTCTGACCTAAACTGTTCTACAGTCCCCAGGGCCCACACCAAAATTCATGTTTTCCCCTAACCTGCTATTAACCCTCAGCATTCCTCATTAGCTATGGGCACTGGGAACAACCTGAAGGATTTGCAGTGCAGAGGAAATCCCTTTTATCCTTTGGCAAGAGAGTTAAAAATACGTATTTTGTTGCTGGCCACTAACAAAAAAGGTGGGTTTTTTTCCTGAGTTTGGAAAGCTGTTCCAGAAGCAGCAGCGCTGCCAGTAAAAGCCTGAGGCTGACACAGACCTAGGGGTGGTTTGGTCCATGGCACACTGTGGGGACAGAGAGGAAAAGCAGGAATCCAGTGCTTAAAAACTCCTGGTGAAGCGCTCCCTCTGATGGCAACGCTGCAGCACGACAGAACACGCAGACAAAAGAGGGCAAGGGACTCAAGCAGATCTGTCAGCAACTGTATAAACACAGCATCAAACTCATGGGCTCAAGCTGTTCCATTTCATTAGCCAGACAGGTTGGAAAATCAATTCCTCCTGCAGGAGATGCGTGGGGGGGAGGAGAGGAGGCTGAGGAAGGAGAGTTTAAAATCTTTGTCCTTCTCTGCTCCTGACCTCTCCCTGTCCTGAACAACCACCATCACCTAAGTGGGGAGAATCAGGGGGTTTGTTACGTCTGAAACTCCTCATTTGTGCCAAAGAAAGAGCAGAGAACAGAGATCCAGCCTCCACTGCCCTCCTGTTTCTCTAATTGCCTCCCAGTGGGTGGGTCTTGTCCTCCCAAAAAGCAAGGGGCTGGCTGCAAGCACATCCCAGACAATTTACACGTACATTGCTCTCCACCACTGTTATTCCCACTCCTAACAAACCTCTCCACAGCCTGGCCAAAGCACCTCCAGCTCACCACAGCCTGGCCATGGCCTGTCCTGACCCACACACCTCTGCTCCCCAGCAATCCCCTCTGCTGCTCCACACCTGCACCTCCCACAGAACTTCTCCCACACCCCACCCGAGGCATTAATCCCACTCCTCTGCAGTTATCCAAGCTACAGTTACCAAGCACGAGACAAGCCTGTCTGAAAAAAAAAAAAACCACAACAGAGCACCCACAGAGGGATCTTCTACTTGTCACCTCTCAGAGCGAGCCCATGAATTCTCACAATTCATCCGGGACAGGTCTGTTCTACCAGGTGTGAGCTGGGTTCACTTGAAATCACTGATCTTTAATATTCACATCACACAGGGAAGCGTGCAAGGGCAGTGAAAGCTGAGACCACTGGCCACAAGACTGCTGTTCATCATAAAAAGCAGGGAAGAAGGTACGGAGAGCAACCCTTTTTTTCTGGAAGTCGGGAAGGAAGGGGAGAGAGGGGAGAGAAGGGATTACGGTTCTGCTCAACCTACCAAATCCAGAGCACTTCTCCCTGGCAAAGGCAGCAGCTCACAGCTAGGGAGGGGGAAAGCAAAACTAAAAGGCTAAAATTAGTTGGAAGTAACTGAGGGAGCGTGATGAACAGGCCAGTTCTCACTCTGCGTGAGCAAATATTAACGAGATGCCGGTGACCGAAGTGAAACCAGCTTCCAGCTACAGGCTCTGCTGACATTCTCACAGCTGCAGCAGGAGAATGCCTGTGACTGGGGTCACCACTCAGTACCTGAGTGATGAGACAACTCTACAGTGGGGGACAGGAGAGAAAAAAGAAGGCTTACTTTGGAGAGGCGCTTGTGTGACTTAATCGGAGAGAAAGCATGCAGGAATGAAAAGAGAGAAATTAGGGAAAGAAGAAAAATTACCTGGCAAATCAAGAGAAGGAAACCCCACAAACCCAACAGAGAGCATCATACCCCCCCTTCTCTCGTGGAAAGCACCGTGAATTAAAGGTCAGCTTTAGCAGTCACTGTTTTGGTAAAAGTCTCACTCCTATGCCCTTAATTCACAGCACTTTGTGGGCCAGGGCAATGCAACTCATGTCTGCAATTCCCCCTTAGCAAGGACACCTTTTCTCTGAGAGCATCCCCCAGTGTGGCCATAAACACAGCACGTCCTGCATCCTGCCTGCCTCCCATCCCATCCCAGGGCTTGCTTTTGGGAACACGGTGCACGGGGTGTCATCCAGCCCTGCCGCCCTGGGACGGTGTTTGTGGGTCACTGAGTGCACAGGAAGCCAGGCTGACCTCGAGGGCAACCTCACAACTCAAATGGTTCAGCTTGAAAAACCCTTCTCCCCCCTCTTCTGCACTCACACAACCCTCCCCCTCAGTGGGGAGAGATGAGCTCAGCCCAAGGAATGTGGGCCACTGAATGCTGTTCCTCTGCTGAAAGCACCCACAAAGGGCAGTGGATGAAGATTTCTTGTGTGGGATACAGTCCAGCAACAGACCAGGCAGAGATCTAATTCTGTAGAATTCTACAGCTCATTCTGTACAAGCCACCACAGTTATGCCTGTGACACTGTGGAGTTATCCAGGCTGAAATATTTCACTTCAGAAATCTGGAAAGAACACAAGTGCTCCTGACGGATAACTTACAACACACCCCTGATGTCAGGGTTACAATCAAAGGTGCGTTTCACCAGCTCCCACTGCTCACAGAAAAACCCAGAGTTGCCAAACCTGAGAGCCTCTCCCTCAGCACAGCAAAGACAAGGTTGCTTCTAACACAGTCCAAGGACACGAAACCTTTCTAGGGAAAACACCACCTACCCTGGCCAAGCCAGTCATAACACTGCCCTGAGCAGAAGGAACGGGCAGGGGATTAGAAAACTGACTGTGCAACTTGAGCCTCATCTCAGAGGGCTTAGGCAGGACTGAGAAATGCACAGGCCCTTCACAGGCTGCACAGGGGAACCTTTATTTTTTCCACGGCACTCAATAATCCAGATGATGAAAAGCAATTTTAACAGCTGATTGTCAAGGTCTTTCTCAAAACCACAGAGCCTCCCCAAGAAACAGGGCTCTGACTGTGGACAGGGAGTCTCTATAAACTGTTAAGGAGCTGCAGTACAAGCCACCAGCAGCTCCTGGACTCAGCTTGCTGCAAGGATTATGGAGCTGTGCTGAAGTGAGGAGGAACTTGACCCTAGTTAGGAAAACTTGACCCTGGTTAGGAAAACTTGACCCTAGTCGGGAGAACTTCCAGAAATACAATGAGGGGAGAAGGAGGAGAGTTATCCAGAGGAACAGGAGGCACAGGGACAAAGGCAGTGTCCTGCCCCAGGCGGTTCAGCTCCAGGGACACGTGCCCACCTCGGCCAGCGCCGCTTGCTCGCTGCTCACCTTGGAGTTCTTGGCCCCACTGCGGCCTGACTGGGAGGAGCAGCTCCGCTGGACCCCCTGCTCGGGCGTGGAAGGGGACTTGTCCGAGGAGTGGTCAGAGCCCTTCTCCACCATGGCGTCTCCCGGGGCGTCCTGCGGCGTGGGGGAGCGGGAGCGTTTGCGCAGGATCGGGGAGCAGGCAGGAGTGCTGCGGTTGGAGTTACTGGCAGTACTGCAGGGAGGGAGGAAAAGAGAGAAACGGCAGGGTTAGCCACCCCCAGCTCACACTGACACCGGCTGCTCCCCTGCCCCGAGGTGTGCAGAGCCCCACGGGTCTCCCCAGCAGCACAGCAGACAAATGTGGCTTCCCGGAGCAAGACGCCCAGCGAATTGAGGCTGCTGACAGTCATCGCTTCCCAGTGGCAGAGGAACCACCACGGCCTGGCAGTGCCTTTCTCCACCCACTCTTCAGTTCATCTGACCACAGACGAATGAACTCATTCTCCTGTGGGCTCCAGGAGTTTCAAGTGACCGATCTGAGCTCAGAAAATCTCAACTTGCGCTCAGGAGCGAGGGAGATGTCAGTGTTTTCTCAACACTCTGGCCCTCCCTGACTTTCCCTCAACTATTCTCAACAGTACGTGTGAAAATGGCATCACACCTTTCAGAAAACACTCCATTAAAGGTCACCAAACCCCAAAAACGCTGGGGCACTGGGAGGGAGGTCATGATGACAGACACTGCAGTCATGAGTTCCTGTACAGAATCATCCTCTCCCACACCAGTTAGAGCTGGGCACGAGAACGTTTTGTTACAACCTAAAACCTTACATGACTAAAAAAACCCCAAACACCAAAGTTCCCCTTTCATAAAGGGAAAAGCAAGACCTTCTTCAGTCTTACAGAAATTATGAGACATTTAGGAGAATGGAACTTCTCCCCCTCTACCCCCAGCAAATGCCCCAACACCTCAGTCAGAAAATCAGCAATATACACATTAATAAAGAACAGGAAAACTCAGATCTCCTCACTGTTCCTTCTCTTTTGATGCCTCTTCTTCCTGCCAGACTCTTCATGCTACATCCATCTTTCCCCACGTCACTCATTTCCTTCAGCAGCCAAACCTATTTCTGACCAGTCCAAACATCCTTGAGGCTTTTCCAGCAGCCTGCAGGTTCCAGTGGAACCTGGGCTGATCCAAGGATGAATTTTGGGCTAACTCAGCCATGGTTTGGTACCCTGTTATCTCATGAGCAGCAGCAAACAGGCCACATCTGACTGACAGAAAAGCAGGCAACAGGGAAAGGATGAGGGAATTACAGCTGCAAGGGATTCAATTAAAAAGTTAGTACAACCAGACTCTTAAGGGCTATAATTTAAGCCCAATTATACACAGCAAACTGAAGCTTCCTTCTCACACTCAGACACAGTGAGGTACTTAAAATGGATCACTTCCTTTCCGAAAATCTAGAAGAGCTGAACATGTGCCTGAGGTTTCATTAACTCCCAGATAAAAATCACACCCAGCCCTTAACTCTGAAGATGCCAAAAGCCATTTTACACAGCAGACAATGTAACACACTCCTGCAGCAGTCATCAGGCTTGGCTTGGTTTGGTTTAGCACTGGATGAACTGGTCTCATAAATTATGCTCTGTTTGCTCTCCGCTTGTGTAAACCCACAAGTGATGAGATCTCCCCTAAACAATCAGCAGAAAGCACACAACCCCATCGCCTGTGCAAACATTGACAGAGCCAGATTTCACAGCAGTTGGCAACGGGCAAGCACAGCAGCGTGGAACAACAGAAACCCCTGAGAAGATGCTTTCAAGGAGATGGAGTGTGGAAGTCCCTACAGAAAACGGACAGAAAATGGGTTTGCAAAAATGTCCTACAAGCAGGAACTTGGACTGAGTTACAGACTCTGCTCTGTTACCTGTTTTTACTTAGAATAATAAACCTCTGACTGTTCAAATGTCACCCAAACCCCGAGTTAGATCCAGTGCATGACATCTCATATATTCTCACAGCATCTTGTCCCATGTCCTCCCTTTCCCTGGACAAGGCACAGGAATCCATGCACGGCACAACTGTGGCAATACATTCCAGATTTAATCCCTCCAAATCATCTTTGAAACGAAAGACTAAAGAAAAGATGATCTAGGCCATTGCCCCCAGCAGCAACAGTTGCCTGCAACAGTTTGGGTATATCATAAAAGCCCAACTATCAGGAATTTCTTAGTTATTGAAATTTTATAAAGTATCAGGTTTCTTCACCAGAATGTAGAGTTCTACTCAAAAACTCTAAATTCTGAGGCTGGGTTGGTCCTGCTTGCCCCCAGCAGCCTCGATGCAACACAAGCTGCTTTATGTGAGAGGTCCCCAAAAACACAAAGCCAGAATTCGAAGCCAGAGCTCCTGACTCACACATCACTGGACTAATTTGAACAGAAGTATTAATTTTACTTCTGCAGCTCTACCAAACCCAAGTTTATCACGCACAGCCTCCATCTCGCTTCTGGTTCGTGCGAGTTCATCCCCACAGTTTCACTTTGAGTGGCAGCTTTAAGCAGCCCCTATAAAGACCAAGTCAAACTCACTCAAGGTTCTGTTCGCTTTCAGGTCACAGTTGTGAGATTTTTACTGCCACTCAGAGCACAAATCACTCCAAACCAGGGTTCACAGCTGCATGTGAAGCTCGGATGAAACACCCTGGAAAGTTCTAGTTTTGCTCTTTTTATGGTCTTACAAAGCCTCCTCAGGTGGGTTTTTCAGTCACAGTCGAGTAACCCAAACAGGGTGTCGTGGTTTTGCCAGAATCAACACTACCTTAAAGCTGACATGTATATATTTATTCACATTATCACACGTTTTGGTGCCAGCCCTGCCAAGCACAATCTCAGGCAGATTCCAGCTTCCAAGCTCGTTTTCCAGTCATTTAGCACCTCTGGCATGCGCTAAAACACTAAATCCATCCTCACAGGTTGTGTTTGGGATGTATGGATCATCACCTTTGCAAGGACAGGGGGGGAAATAACTTCAAGGGCACCTTCTCTGGCTCTCCCCGAGTTCTGATTCCTCCTCTGGATGACTGGGAAAAGCTCAATATTTCTCACACGAGGGGACTCCACGCACCAAGAGCCTGTTCACTCAGCCTTTCATCTCTAGGGCAGCGAGGATGGGCACAAAAAGCACGGGAGCTGCAGCTCCATCCCCCCCTTCTCCTGCCCCGAGCCCCCTCAAAAAACTCCGCTGCTCCTGCTCATTCCCTGGAGTTTGAATCCAGCCCAAGGCACGGCCATGACGAACGCTTTCTGCAGTTGCCATAGCGACCGAGGCCCTCGCCATTGAACCAGGAACCAGCGCCTGAAATGCCAAAACGGCCTGACCCACTTTGAAATAAATAAATAAATAAATAAATAAATGAATAATAGTAATAAATAACGCTTTAGAGACCTAATTGCCCGGAGAGAGCGTTCAGGACCTCACATCCCCCCCAGGCAGCGGAGCCTCCAGTGGGTGCAACAGCTCAAGGGAGGGACAGAACACAAACAAGCCCACCTAAGCTGAACCCTGCTGAACGGAATACATGAAAGCACAGAAGGCTGATTCTGCCTCCTTGGTTTATGTCCTGGCTGTGCCTGAGAAAAACCACCTTGTCCTGGGGTTGGAGCCGCGGGAAAAAATGCCACGGGCGAGGGTGACGCGGATGGGAAGGGGCCAAACTCTGCTCACACGTGGAGGAAAAGCCTCTCAGTCTCTGGAGCAGCACAGTGAAGAACCAGCAGCCCTCCAGTCTCTGAAAGGGTCTACAAGGAAGCTGGAGAGGGACTCTGTTCAGAATTGTAGTGACAGGACAGGGAGCAATAGGGGCAAACTGAAAGAGGGGAAGTTCAGGTTGGATATACGGAAGGAATTCTCCCCTGGGAAGGTGATGAGGTCCTTGGCACAGGTTGCCCAGAGAAGCTGTGGCTGCCCCATCCCTGGAAGTGTCCAAGGCCATGCTGGACAGGGCTTGGAGTAACCTGAGATAGTGGAAGATGTCCCTGCCCATGGCACAAGAAGGATTAAGATGATCTTGAAGGTCCCTTCCAACCCAAAGCACTCCGTGATTCTGCAAGCTTTTCTTCAGCAATTTTCTTCAGCAATGCACAGACAAGTCACCTGGTCACCCTGGGACACAAGGCAAGACACAGAAAGGCCACACTTCTTCCTCCAGCAGAGTATTTTCTGTAAAGATCTGGACCAGCTGATGAACAGAGACTTCACCAAGAAGTCACCTTTGGGAAATGCTACAGTTTGTACTCCACAAGTGAAGCTTGGTGTTCTTACAGCCACAAAGGAACCCTGAGAACTCTCTGCAATGCTCTCAAGGAGAACTCAACAAGAAACCTGCCTTAGTTTGAGTCTGTTAAATAAATTCTGCACGAATGACAATTCAAGCAGCCCTGAACTGACAGGAAAGTCTGTCCATCCTACCAGATCTGAAACAACCACCGTGCCCAACACTGCTACACAGCCATCCCTGGGCTTGAGGCAAGCACCCTGCCAACAGTTCTTCCCCAAATTTTGGGTGCCCCAACAGCCAGCAGCCACCCTCCAGAAGGGCACTGTCACAGCACCAGTGGCCACAGCCACACTGTAGGACAGCAGCTCACTCCTCCCCTCTCAGGTGGTGACACACACACAGATTAGGAGGACACACAGCAAATCCACTTGAACCTGCCACTTGCAGGATGTGAATTAGAATTCAGCCCGAAGTAATCACTTTGTGTTGCCAAAGGATTTGTAACAGGGGCAGATCATCCAAACAAGCAGCAGCTCCGTGTACACAACATTCCCTTCACTGTGATCACCAGCTTCTCAGAGGGTTTCTTCCTCAAGAAAGTCCTGATCTGGAAAGCTAACTGGCCTCCAAGTCCTCAGAAGAACTTGCTTTACAAGAGTAAATCTGCAGCTGCTCAGGTCTCCCTACAGCCCACAGCACCTGCCTGATAGAAGGCTCTCCAAGGCCCCAAGTTTGTGTTGTAAAATCGAGCTTAATTCCAAAAGTGCAGAGCACTCTTGTTCCCAAACCAGCAAAGAAGGGCATATTTAAGCACATATTTACCTCTCTGTGTCTGAGATCTATGGGCTGTGCACAAAAAGTCAAGCCTGTGCCTACACACTTTCCTAAACAAGACCAAAAGAGATCCTCGAGCATCAAACAGAACTGCACTGATAAAGTCTTGAAAA